TACCAAATAAACCTTACTCCCCCAAATTTCTGCCAAACGATTCTAAATTTCAACCCCACTCACATTAAAAGGTAATTAATACACCGTTATCGAAAAAATAAATAAAATCTGTTATAACCTAAAATGCGCAAAGTATGGAAAATTATACATTTTTTATTGTTCACCGACTTTACGGCTCTGGGTTCTAGCCCTTTCGAGAAAAAATTATACGATATTAATGTGAAAACTGGATAGCATACAAAATTTTGTGGTTGTGGCGGGAAAGGCAACCTGACTTTATAGATATCTGATCTGATCTAATCTGTACTAAAATTAAATCAGCACGCCCCGAATTCACGTAGTCTTGTCTGCCCTACTCCTAAAGTATTCTGTAAAGCCGTAGGCGCGGAGTGAGAGCAGCCCCCACCTGTCGTAGCAAATCGCAGGCACCTGTGCAAGCCGTAGTGTGCTTATTATTTTATTATATATTATGTTTATAATTTAAAGTAATTATAAAAGCTAATGTTTTGGTGTTTTGTCGAGTGCAAGAGCGAGCGAAGCGAGCTCGGGACTTGGACAGGTTAGGTTAGACGGGGATGGCGCGGTCGAGTGAGCGAGAGAATAGACCCTGCCATTTCCTTCGTGGTTATTTTTTTGTAAACCACTCAGAAGTAGGAAGCCCGCAAAGCAGGGCTCCGTCGACCGGACTTCCCTCGACTGCGCTACGTGGTGCTTCCCTCCCCCAACTCTCTTCCCTCATAAATTAGGTTTATAGTCAATAACATTACAAAAACATAACCTCAAAATTAGATTTTTAAAAATTTATAAAAATAACTAAGCATCTCCGGCAGGATATAGAAGTGGGGGGTGACTCTACAACCCCCTCTCCTCCCTCTCCACCACCTCCCACTCCCTTAATTCATTTTGAGTTATCATTTTGAGGTTAGTTCTATGGGATTTTCTTTGTGATTTTTCTCAAGAACGGTGCATAACCTTTTAATGTGAGTGGTATTATTATAATCGGGGACCAACCCTCTACCAAACAAAATACCTTACTCCCCCAAATTCCTGCCAAACAATTCCAAATTTCAACCAAAATATTTATAGACATTTACTTATTTACCTACAACATTTACGAGAAGAATCAAATTGGGATATTATTTACCCTATTTCGACAGCTTAGAATCTTAGATTAATGAGTACTTATTTTTCCTTCACAGCTGTCACCTCATAGCTACGTCTGCGGTGCCTGCTTTGACACAATGTCTTGCAACAAATTCAAGGGAAAGACAAGTTGGTCACAAAAATGTTTGCTATGACTGAGGTAGATCTGTTGAAAGAAAGAAAGATTTATTGCATTACAAACATCAGTAGGCGCTTAAATTTTAACATTTGTGGACACATCTGTTATAAACATTATAACAAACAAAAACAAAAATAGTAAATTTGACGGAAAACAATTTGACGGATAAAACAATTTAAAAGTATGTATACTTATAACTATATTTTAAAAAAAATAGAAAGACAAAAAAATCGTTTCTCTCGTACGAGTATGTTGTGGCGCGTCATACAAACGGACCTCACTCAGCTTATGCTGTCGCCGGAGCAACAGCGCTGGTTTTCAGTGGGCCCGAACGGATAATAACGTACGGACGTCCGCGAGTGATACACAATAATATTAAAAACCAATCCGTCTAACTATGCTGAAATTATTGATTTCAAACCAAACAAAGGTATGTACATGTGCTTATTATACATGCACTTTATTTTTATTTTCAAAAAATTTTGTGTTACCAGTATGTTCTTAATTTTACTAATTAATATGTTATATTATTTTAAAAAGTTATTATTACGTTGTATTCGTTTTTTTATATTAATATATGTATGTTTTAACACTTATTTCTAAAACTTATACAAAAATTACCTCAGTTATTAATTGACGACACTAAAATTACACTTTTTTTTAGCCTGCAGTCAGTGGACCTATCTGAACAGTATCCAATTTAAGGTTATATTATCATCACTTCACTTTATTAGTATTATTAGTGCGACCTTGACCGCCTGTGCTATGTGCCAGTACCCATTTTGGTGAGTAGTATGCTTCAGCCTATGTTCTTCTGAGTTAGTATTTGATAGTTTTTTTTATTTTTCTTTAAATGTTTTAATTGTTTTCAGGCTACGAAGCGGTGGCGGCAGGTCGTTCCAACACTTTGAGGCAACGTACCTAAAGCTCCCACGAAAAGCAGCGGTGCGATGGAATGGCACGGCGAGAGAATAAATCGACGCACGAGTTATTTTTGAATTTACGCCGCGCGACTACACCAACTTTTAGAAGAGATAAGGTGGCATATTATATTTAATTATACCAAACAGTAGGCACTGTTGCACGTGCATGAAAACGCAGCACTCCAGAATTTAGTTCTCTCGCCTCAGTGGTATTATCGTGGCATAAGCATGTGAGTAATTGTTTTCATTATTCATTAAAACTCACTCTGCGAACAAGACACAATAGTTAAACAATCACTGTGACCCGTATGTGGTATTGTCAATTTCTAAACTGGAATATTTATAATGGTGCTGTACTGTTAATTACAACTAATTTCTCAAAATAACCAATCTGCATTAAATCTGTTGACTTTCCCAAACACATACGCCATAACATTCATCTTCATTTTGTGTTTCAACAGCTTGTCTCATAAATGAAAGTGAACAATATGGTAAAGTTTTATATTTTTTCAGGTTATAGCGGCCAACTTTTTGTGACATGGTGTTATGTGAGAGCTAACAGAGTCACCCGAAGAAATATTGTCGATTCTAACAGATTTGAAAACATAGAAGAAAACCAAGCTGTTCAAGAAATTCAGGTGTAAAATCCGCCACCTCTTCCCCCTGGACCAGCAGTAAGTAACATTCAAGATGTATCACCAATTGTCCTGCCGAATTGTAGATGTTGTGCTAATACATCTAGAAGATGCGTATTTGATGGCTGTCAGCGTAGTGAAGATCATTTAATACCTACCTTGGTTAAATCAGTATTGTTCTCGGATAGTAAACTTTACTCGTACGTGCCTCGAAGTGCCAGGGCACGTGAAGAACATTTACAATCCAATGAATGGGAAATATTATTAGAGAACACAAGTTTAACTAATACTTTCACTGCAAATCTAATTCAAAGCTTGTTAGATAACAAAAGTGAGGAAAACGTTATTGATTTTGAAAACGTGGAATACACAGGAACACTACACAGGAATTCATAGAATTGTATAATAGCATACCAATACAGTCTGTTGAACCCAAAAATTAAAAAACTGCATTAGCAATGATTTTAATCAAATATGGGACTGGTGATAGCGACATTAAGATAGAATAAGATGAAGATTGTGAGAAACTGTCTGAATAATCATTTTGTTTCGCTACATCTTGGAGCGTCCACATATCTCACCAAGAATTGGCAGAAAAAAACACCACTATACCTGAGAAATCTTAAGCCCGATTCCTCTAACCGGTGGGCTATTGTACAATGCGATGCTCCATGTGCAAAACCTCCATGTGCAAGAGTTCGAATTTTAAATACCAAAAAAGACATTCAGTCTTCATAAATATCATAACTTAACAAAAGCATTTTTAGTAGTCTGTTGCAATGAATATATTATAGATGTGTTTGGACCTTTCGTTGCAATACAAACAGATGCAGAAATAATGAAATATTTAGTTTCTAGCAATGGAGGCTTGTTTCAATACTTTCATCAAAATGATGTATTCGATTTAGACCACGACTTTAGAGGTTATATTTCCAATCTCAGGTTATTGGTGTACTTGTGTAGCTGCAAACCGGACTGATGGATGTTGTGCACATATAATGACCATTCTGTGGTACTTGGGATGGGCGAGATACCAAGAGAACTATTATTTATTCCACCAGCTGCATTTCTTGATAATGTACTAATAACATTAAATGATTAAATGCGTAAAATAATGCAAGTTGTTTTATTTTCTGTCTAATATACTTCAATCAATAATAGTACTAATATAATCACGTTACAAAAAATAAAAATAATTTCAAAGACTCAAAAAACTGCTGTCTAGTTAGGATACATCCTAAACACTGGGACACATGAAATTATAACCTTATTAATATCTAAATTGTGTAATTATGATAAAAACTGACTGACAAAATGAACTGTTTTTAAATCTTCATAACTTTTGTCTACTTCTCACTATATATGCACTTTTCTAATTCTTTATATAGAAGATCTGTACTTTCAAATGACATAGATTTCATGTCTGTACTGTTTGGGGCACGGTCTCATACAATTTTTGGCCATCTCCTTCTAGTGGACCCAAAAACGATTGTCTCCTTTGTAGTTGTCTCTTAAACTGAAGTATATGAAGTAAATGCGAGGTAAAGGTGGAAACTCGTAATTTCAAGTAAATTCTCTTAATTTAGAGAAGCGTAATTTAGTAACGAAACTGATTCTAATTTAATTTTAACAGTATAATGCTTATAATTATCATTTAAAAAATAATTGTTGTGAGCACTCTTATCTATGATTATGAGTAAACGTAGTGATTATATACTCTTTAGTTCTGTGGGGACCCTTCTAAATATTACCATACTCTTTGGAAGGTTCTACTAATTTGTCAATTGGCGTCCTTATGGATTTACTCAGTACTTGACAGATTAATGATAATTTGGAAATTCTAAATTTAGAGGCATTTTAACAGTTTCCCTGTTCACGAAATAGACATAATAGTTAAAGAATCGAAATGTTCAAACATGATTCATGGGACAGGGAAAAGTCAAAGCTTCTTCCTTGTCCTTAGAGATTATAATAATTTTTAACAGAAATAAAATCAAAGTAAAGTAGTAAAGATAAGTAAATGTTTTAAGAATGTCATAATTCAAACAAAGTATAAATATAAATATAATAGCAGGAACTACTTAACATTAAACCATGACCGAATAATTATGAGAAATGAAATAAGAGTAAGAACATGTGGCATGTGGGCATGTGGCTTACCGGAGAGTCCGCCGAAGTCGCGGAAGATGCGGAAGTCTGTGTCAGCGGGGATGAGGCCGCTCTGGAACAGCTCTTGCGCCAGCGACGACGCGAACGGGTGCGGCGCCACGCCCGCGTACACCTGCACACGCAGCGCTCGCTCACTGCACCAACACGCACGCGCACTCACGTACACACAAGTACACGCACGCACACGCACATGTGCGCGCCGACACGGAAGCACACACGTACACGCACGCACACGGACGCACTCGCACGTGCGCGCACTGTGTAGTGTGGCCCCACGACATTATATACAGAATGGGTACCACATATATGCAATAAATGAAACCAACTTGTCGTCTTTGCTGACGATATACAAAAAATGAACGAAATTGGTCCAGGTCAAAAAGTAGCGTTTTAAATTTGAGCTAATTTGAACTCGGCGAAGAATTAGGTCACTAAAATCGTATTTTTAATTAAACGAAGCTGCCTGACAGATGCTAATGTCACTTTGTGAAATAATGATGCCAGATTCATTGTAATAGTATACGATGACTTGATGATTATGACTAAAATTAAATTAACCTATCTTGAATGACATTGTGAAACTTGTTGACGAATATTATATCATTGAAATAAACAGAAAAAATATTGTTAGTAAGAATAATATTTTAATACTATTGTCACTCGAGGGGGCGCTCTGACCTTCGGAACGCACCCTGCGCCCGCCGTGTCGGTCGCCATGTTGCGTGTCATTTGTGTTGTCATTCATTCGGCCTAACCTCTGGTCTGATCGCTCGAATATTTTCTCTGCACGATGTTCTCCCGTTGCTTTTCTTTAGTTTCTTATTAAGTTTTTTATTACGTTGTGTTTGTGTTGTTTTTTATTGTTCAGTTATTTTGTTTTTATATCGTTTCGTACAAACGATATGGAACCTCAAACAAGCACGCCGAGCAAAAGCTCTTTTTCCCCAAAAAAGTCCTTTGGCGTAGAGGACACCTGTTCGACCATTAGCTTCTTTCAAAGAGAGTAGTGATTGATAAATAAAAAAATGTGTTTAGCTTTAATACTTAAGGCATGGTGTTTTTAGAATTATCGTGCTATTATGATAATTCCAAAAATACTGCGACCCAAGTATATTTGAAGAAAAACTTTAAAGCTTTTTTGTTTACGTGTGTTCTTGTAGATTTAACGATGATAATTTGTTTTGAGTCACTCACTAAACGGTAGTTTCATAAGTTCAATTGTATAAAAATAAATTTTTAACCAATCAATAATTCAGTAATTGTTAAAAAACAATATTACTTGTATTCAAATGCCTTGTTTAGGTAGTATACTAGAAAGTGTATAAAAAAGTATCGATAAACGATAATTACGCCTTTTAATATTTCCCCAACCTTGAAAGTTTTAAGTTTCGCTTTCAGTTCGCCGCGAATCTTCCGGGATAGTGTATGTGCGTTTCGCTTCTTGCGCGCATCGCATCAAGTGATTTATTTTAATTAAGATAAATACAAATAGTTAAACGATTTTCTTACGGCGAAATGGACACTTATTATCTAACTAGCTGTTACCCGCGGCTTCGCCCGCATGGTTACTGGGAAATGAACTATCCATTGATTTTTGAATTGAAAGAAAACTGAGTTTTATAGATTTGTCAGAGATGCAGCCATTAAAAGGAAACTGAGCAAAATTGATTCGTCAGCCTATTTAAATGTTTTGAAAAGCAGCGTATAGGAAAGCATGAAAATAGCCTGTTTATTCCAAATGGAAATGGGATATTTTTTAATTAAAGGAAACTGAGCATAATTATCCGTCGGGGATGCAGACTTTTGAAAAGAAACTGACCTAAATTGATTCGTCAGAGATGCAGTTTTCTGAATTGAAAGGAAACTGAGCCAAATAAAAGATCCGTCAGAGATGCAGTTTGAGTGAAGGAAACTGAGCTTAATAGGTGCATTTGGAATTGAAAAGAAACTAAGCTAAATAGGAAATTTTGAATTGAAAGGGAAGGTCTGTGGGAATTCTGATTAATTGATTGTGGGAATTTTGGAAAAGAAATTAACTGAACACTATTTTAAGACGCTACTGTACACAATGTTATATGTTTTTCCATTCGGGGAAAGAATGTGGAGATTCTGGGCATTTGACACACGCGAACATGCTACACACAGCTGACCATGAGAGAAGCACGGTTTTTCTAAGTTGACCCCCGCTACCTGTAACGTTTGCCCTTGCGCTTTATTGTCATTGCAAAACCGCTTAATGCTGCAACTTTTTGAATTGAAAAGGAAGATCTGTGGCAATTATAGGAATCTGTGGTATAATAACATTTCCACCTTTTCCTACGCCTGTCAAAATTGTAGCACCGATTATGTTCCGTCCAAGATGTGTCACACGCAGCCTTGTCCCGTTACATAACCGAGGAGCATCTAAATTTCGCATTAGCATGACTGGGACGCCTAATTTTAATTGAAGCTTATGTGAGGTGAGAACTCTAGATAATTTAGAAACTCTACGGGATATGAAGTGCTCTTTTCTGTGTCCATAACTGTGTCTACTGACAAATACTCTGTTATTTCTCTTGCTACTTCGCTTAATATAGCTGAATTTATTTTGTTAATTTGTCTTCCCAGTTCCTCCAGGGGCATCTAAAAAGAAAAGTGCACCATTTCCAGATTCAATTTGTCCTAATACTATGCCAAAAACTCGTTTTTGTTCGGGAAGCAAGCGGGGTACAAATTCGGCTACTTGCTGCTGCAAAGCTGGTATATCGTAGTTTGTTTCACGTATAATTTCATCACTTAGTTCATTTTTGGTTGTTCGCTGAGGGCTTATCATTCCAAAGTCGCTTAATTTTTTGCTTACCATTGCCATTACTTTATCTTCAATTTTTCCAAGTGCTTCATTATAAATGTGTTCATTGTATGTCACGTTCGCGTGTGTCTGCAGTAACCTTCGCAAAATATCTTCCGCCATGTACTCTTTATATTTGTCCCACAATTCATGTGCATTAGATAGGCCCGCAAGATGATATGAGAGTTGCATAAATATCCCTAATTTTGGCTGGTGACTGGCACAGCTTCCTCCATGGTTTCATCCCAGTGATTATCGTTTTCTAAAAGATGCACAGCTTCACATGCTTCTCTATAAGTTGCGCATTTTTGACCGTTGACAGTTTTAAGGTCTTTATATCCTGTAGGACCCCGAACATGGTGCAGCAGTAATCGTAAACAGAAACATTCAAAATTAGTTACATGGACGGTATAAGTAAGTAGTGCGCGACACCGAACAAAGTGGACGTGTTATCGGTTGTAATTACAAAAATAATATAAATATGCTTAAACGACCTTAATTCTTAAGTTAATAAGGTGCATATAATAAATCGGCATACACTCCCCTACGCTGTTGTGACATTACTCTGCTAAGTACGCTGCGAGCGAATACACGCGTCACAGATCAACATGATGCCAATACGCTCACCTACTAGAAGTGGCATAGGTACCGGACTTAGTGGTTCACAGCCCAATTTGTCGACGGGAGAGTCAACCACAGACGTTTCTACAGCGCCACAAGTTACATTTCGTAGTAAGCGGAAATACTCTGGTGATCAAGATATTAAAGAAGAATTACGCGAAATACGAAAGGGAATTGGCAGAAATGATGCAAGTTCTTACCTCAATTAACGCGAATCAAACGGAAGCCATAAACAGGATATCGGAAGATGTAAGTTCATTGAAAGAACATGTAAAAGATCTTAAGACCGAGATAGATAATCTCCGATTCGAAAATGAGAAAATAAAGCGTAATATAGAGAACTTGATCAGTAAATATAATGAAAAAGATAAACAAATAGAAACGTTAGACTCTGAAATAAAAAACCTTCAAAGTACAAAACTAATAGATCCACTTACCACAACAACCGTTAGTAGCACAATAGAAGAAACTGTGATGGCAGAACTTTCTGATCGATTGGTTAGAAGCAAGAATATCATAATAACTGGATTAATGGAAACAAATATATCTGACTATAAAGATAGAAAAGAGGCTGAGAAGAGAGAAGTACTTGGTTTATTAAAAAAGATCTCAAACGATTGTACAGAACCAAAAAGTATAACACGCCTGGGAAAGTATGCGCCAGACAAGCAACGCCTACTCAAAGTGTGTTTCTCAACACCAGAAGAAGCTATTTTTGTATTACGTTCTAAAAGTAATGAAAAACTGAATCCCATTAAAATTTTCCCAGATCAAACGCCTCAACAACCATCTTTCTACAAAAAACTTAAAGAAGAGTTGAAACATCGTAAGGACAATGGAGAGATGAACCTAATTCAAATACAACAAAGATATACCTAAAATAGTTAAAATTAAGCCAAAAAACTAACAAAATTCTATGATAATCAAATTCCAATCTCTAAAAATATTTCTTACCAACTAGCTTCTCAGTATGAGAATATCATAACGACAAAAGACTCCTTAAAATGCCTGTATGTCAATGCACGCAGTATAGTTAAAGCAGGCAAATTTGACGAACTAATATGTATTTTAAAATGTTTTAAATTTACGATTCACTTAATTTTGATAACGGAAACCTGGATAAAGTGTGAAGAGGAAGCTAAACAATTTCAGATATGTGGTTATACCCATTACTATAACTTTAGACCTAGTAGCAGAGGTGGTGGAGTATCAATCTTCGCACACAATATCATGAAACATAATCTTATAGAAGAACAATGTCTTGATAACAATCATTATCTATGGATACATGTTGACAAGTATTCACTGGATGTGGGTGTCATCTATAGAAAACCCGACAACAGCAATATTAATAAATTCATAGAAACATATTCAACAAAATTGGAATCGCGCAGAAGGGCAGTGGTATTTGGTGACTACAATGTAGACCTATCATCTCAAGAACGTACAACTTCGATGTATATGGAAATGTTGGAACAGTGTGGCTACAAATTATTAAATAAAATTGACCCCGAATACTCTACACTTGTAACTTCTTCTTCGAATACTATTATAGACCATGTCAGCACGAGTCTCAAAGAACAACAATTTCACCTTGCTATAATAGAATCAGCTATGTCTGATCACAAACAGATCTATTTTGAAATCAAGAAGTATAAGCAAGA